GGCCGGGGCCGTCGCCGTGGGCGTGGCCGGGGCGCGCCGGGCGCAGCGCCGCGCCCCGAAGGCGCGCAGCGCCGTGGCCGTGCGTGCCGAGAACCCCCGGGCGGACAAGCTCAGGACCATGGAGAAGACGGTTCAGGCGGGACAGCGTCGGGACTCCAGTCCTAGCATGCGGGCAGGAACAAGCTCAGAATCGCGAATGCCCCGTTATAACTCTCACATGAGCAAGACAGCATGGAAAACGGTATGGGTCAGCCACAGCAGACGGTAACACCGCCACAGCATGCCGCCAGTACACAGCACAGCAAAGAGGACATAACGCAACTGAGCAAACCACAGCAGAACATAGCATAGCTCACCATAACACAGTAGACTAAAGCGGACTAGAACAGACGTGGCAAGAGTTTTGCAGAACATGCGATAGCAAGTCATAGCATAGCATACACAACAACATTTAACCTAACCCAGTACCGCAGGAGTCAGGGTTTAGGGGTTGGGGCTGCGGCAAGATAGCAAAAATCACATACCTCAACATGCCAGACCCACACATCACCTCCGAAGATGGGAGCAGTCGTAGCAGAACCGGAAGCCAGCCCCAAGGTCTCAATGCTTGCTTACTTACCTAAACCATAAGCGCTGAACTTAAACCCCGAACCCGAGGCCCACAACCCCATCTTTCCCCTAAACCCCCCAACAATTCAACAGGTGTCGCCCTCCATTCTCTCTGCTGACTTCGCCAACTTGGGTCAGGAGGTCGGCGATGTGCTGAAGGCAGGGCCAAGAGGTTTCAGGGTTTGGGTAGAGGGTATTTCAAGGGCATGAAAAGGCATGTGCGGTCGGGTTTCAGGGCGTAGGGTCATAGGTATTTAGGGTGGTAGTGTTTGAGTTTAAGTTCCATTGTTGATTCTAGCAGTCCTGTCGTGTCGCTATCTAGGCTTTTGTAGTTGCTGCTATAAGGCTTCGGGGGTTTGGGTGGTTTGAGGTCAGGAGTTTTACGCTACTAATGTTTCGGGTTGTAGTGGTTGTGGTGCTTGAATTTAATTTCAGGGTTTTATGCTACTGTAGGTACAAGGTTGTGGTGTTTGGGTTAAGGCTCAATGACTTTATGTTCTAGCGGCTCTAGCGTTTACGGTTGCGGAGCTTGGGTTTAAGTTCAGGGGTTTCATGTGTTAGCATCTAGGGTTCCAGGACCCACAGTTTGTCTTGGAAATTACCGCTTAGCACGTTAGGGCCTCGGGTTTAGGGTCTCGGGGCGTGAATGACCCGGTTGTTGCTGTTGCTGCCCACAGTCTCACGATTTCCAGACACCGATGCCCCAAGCCCTAAACCCTAAACCCCTAAGCCCCCCCTAAACCCCTAAACCCCTAAACCCCTAGACCCTAAACACAACAAAGTAAGAGAGATCCCCTCAGGCCCTAGCTCTAAACCTCGAGATCATACGCTCTGCGCGTTTAGGTGTCGGGTTTAGGGATACACCCCAGTAGTCATGAGGGTCGATGGCATAATGTAGGGGCCTAAATAGCTGCCTATACAATTTGGGGGGTTCCTGAAAATAACAATAGTATGATGGGGCCCACAACCCTATTCTAACCATTCAGGGTATTATACAGGCTGGAGCGGACTGGGTGCACGTGGACGTGATGGATGGCCGCTTCGTCCCCAACATCACCATCGGCCCTGGTGTGGTCTCCGCCCTCAGGAGCGGCAGTCCTAAACCATCCTGAACCATACGCCCTAATTAAACAAGCTTCTTGGTGGTGCATGTTTCGGACATGGAACATGGGTCTTCGAGGGACTTTGAAGATCAGGACTTATTTGAATGCTGTAAAACCTACATATTTAAGGTTGTCTTTTTGGGGCCCAGGCAGGCTTTGAGAATACCCGAAATGTTGGACTGCCAGGAAACGGCTTCTTACAACGGGTGATCCCTTTTTGAGGGGCCTTTGTACTAAGGATCCGGTCACTTAGACCTTATATTGAGGGCCCGGATTTTACGAAGCTCCCATCAAAGCCTACGCCCTAAACGAGAAAGCTTTGGCCCAGAGCCTAAACCCTGCAACCCAAAGCCCAAAGCCACCCAAAAGAACCGCAACCGCGAGCCGTTTGGAAGCTCGGGCCTTCCCCAGAAGGCTCGCTGCCCGTGCTCCAGACGTCTAGGAGCCCTGTCGGAATCCTTAAGCACCTACATTACGTCAACCCTCAATGCCTAAACTCTCCCAAGACCCGCCCCAGACATCAAAGCCAGAACCTCAAAGCTCAAGCTAGGAGCCACATTGATTCGCTTATCATGCCGTGTTATGCCCTCAGATCTAGTCAGATTGCTTGGGCCCTGGGTGCCGATCCTCGGAAATCCTGCATGGCTCAGTGTCCCCTACCCTGCGAGGAAGGCGCATCCTGACTCAATTCTTGACTGCCATCTGATGTGCCTTGGCGAATTTGAGGGCTCCCGAAACCCTAAACCCTAAACCCTAAACATTTGGAGGGCTTCAGTGGTTCAGAGCTTTAGGGATTCAGGGCTTCGGGTTCGAGGGCTTTGGGGGTTTCAGGGTTTAGGAGGGTTTTGGGGCTCTTGCAGGGCGCTGTAAGGGTACCCTTGTACTATAGAGGTCTGGGGTCGAGGGTTTCATTCGCAAAAACACTTCTTTCTGAAGGCCTTTAAAGGTTCAGGGTTAGGGGTTTTGGGTTTAGGGTTGAGGGAGTCCTAAGCGACCACTGCATGAACCCAAGTCAAAGTTCTCAGAGGCGCTTGAATCCCACACCACCTCGTCTGAATAAGCGGCGCCTTGGTTCGAAGCTTATAAGGTTTCTTATGGGTCTCTATAAGAGTTCGTTACTTGTTCCATAAAGCTTCATGAAGGTTCTATGGCGGCCCCTAGGGCTAAGGGTTTAGGCTTGAAAAATCATTCCCCGGACCCGAACCTCCAAAACGACCAAAATCAGAAGCATGCGCTTGCTTGTTTGAACGCCGCTACACGCACGAACCCTGCGATATCCTTTTGAAGGAGTTTTCAAGTCCTAGACAAAGAGCCATCGGCCAGAGGGCGTACCCCTAAACCCTAAACCCTAAACCCTAAACCCTAAACCGTTTAGGGTTTAGTTTAGGGGTTTTTCGAGGCGGACTCGAACTGTTTGGATCTTGCTTGCTCAGGATCGTGGAGCCGGAGCAGCGTGTGGAGGACTCACCACAAGCCCAGATGTCCCAAACTCTATCAGCCGTGAAGTTCCTACGCATCATACAGCCCAACCCCACAACCCTGAGCTGCGAAGTCCTAAACCTTTGCCCTAAACCCTAAACCCTAAACCCTAAACCCTAAACCCTAAACCCTAAACCCTAAACCCTAACCCTGGTTCCATTCTTGTTGGAACCTTCTTAAAGCAAGGGTCCCCTAATCCTAACTCCTAAGCCAAGTTGGCAGGGCTCCAAAACCCCTTAGCTACGGATGATGCCTAAAAAATGATAGCAACCCCAATATAACTCAAGGTATCCTAAACCCTAAACCCTAAACCCCATAGTTAATGGGTTGTTGGAGCCTCCATCCTAAACCCTAAACCCTAAACCCTAAACCCCAAACCCTAAACTCCTAAACCGTAAACCCTAAACCCCAAACCCCCAAGTTAATGGGTTTTTGGAGCCTCCGGGCTCTAAGTTTTGCCCAGGACTTTGCGAAGGCCGGGGCAGACATCATCTCCGTGCACTGCGAGGCCGGTCTTAGGGTTTGGGAGTTTTTGAGTTTGGGATTTATTGGGGTTTTGGGTTTAGGATTTGGGGTTTAGGATTTGGGGTTTAGGGTTTTGGAGTTTAGGGTTTAGGGTTTTTGGGGTTTAGGCTTAAAGAACTTAGGGTGCTTCGGGCTTTAGGGTTTTGGGCAAACAGCTTTTGATCCCTACCTCACTGACAAGTGCGGCGTTGCGCTGGAAGCTGCCTTCCGGAAGCATGGAACGACCATCAGCGGAGTGGACAGGGTGTGTGCCACCTGTCTCTTGTCAGGATCCTTGAGGCATTGCACACAACCTTAAGCCCTAAACCCTAACAGATCCCAAAAGCATATCCAGACCTGGAGGCCTCCGCTCCAGCACTGAATTTAAGATACCCTGTTGGCATCGCCATGGGGCGAACTTTACATTGCCGAACTGTACCCATGGACCAGCTCATGGGGCTGGTTTTCATGTGGCTTTGTTGAGTAGGTGGGTCGGGACAGGTGCAGCGCATGTTCTGCCGCCCTTCACGGTCTGCTCCTTCTGCGTCCATATCTTCGTGCTCTGATGCGCATAGGGTGGCTGGGCTGGCTTCGTACACAAGCACGTGGAGCTTCAGAAACTATGCACACAAGAATCGGAGCAGCCTCGGGCAGTTCTTCTATTCTGAGAGGGTTGTGGACATCAAAGGTTATCCTCCGACTTTATGCCTTCAACATCTGCGAAGGGAAGGTGGATGCCTGTATGAGAGACCACGAAGTCGGATGTTTGCTGCGTGGGGGCAGACCCCTTGATGATGTGTATGATCGCTGGGCAAAGATCTTACTTGGTGTCCTTGCTTGGATGCCTGTCAATGCATTTTTTTGGAACCTGGCTAGCCATTTTCCGGCATGGCCCGTGTAGTCATAGACGTTAAATTTCAACGTGTGCGAATACAGTGCTGGCCACCTGACGATCATCTGCGGCCGACGATTGCGGCAGAACGTTGCTTGCTTGTTTTGGTTACGCTGGCAGCTTCGTTCCTGCGGTCCTGCATGCATGATCTTTCATGCCGCAGCTGTCAACAGAGTATCGGAGCCCAGCGGCTTATTCAAGCCTCCTTCCGCAGGCATGGAAACAGAAGACCTAGAATCTCAGGAACCCAGCAGCGAATCCGAGGACGAATTCGCATTCCCAGAAACGAGCTTGGTAAGTGCTGGTGTCCTGTCAAAATGCTTTATGCTTCCCGCATGTCGGTTTTCGCCTCATTTGGACTTTCTTTGTGACATCGTGGAGTGTCTTTTGTGTCATCTTTTTTTCGTGCCCCTGCCACCTGCTTTGGCTCCCTTTATTCAGTTGTGTCGCCTGGTCGCGATGCTCTGACTTGCCACTGGTGCACATGCCAAAATTCAGATTCTCTTTTGCCCGAAGGTCGGCGAAGCCGACTTGTTCCAGGCCGCGGCGAAGCATGGGCCGATGAGCTCATTGCGATGGCACGCGGGCTCATGATGTGAAGCCGACCCCAACGAATACCACCACCACCCCAAACAACGACAAAAGCATCTAGTTCCATCACCGCCACCAACAGCAGCATCACACCACCAACAGCAACATCATTTGCGCCGCAGGGTCTTTGTCACGACATCACAGTCGACAGCAGTCTGGTGGAGCACGAGAAGCCTAAAACTCCAAAATTGGGGTGTTCGTGCCCTGACGGTGACATGGGCCTCGGTACCCCAGTCAAGCGTTATGTGAAGCAGATGTTCGCGGCTAAGTGTTTGGCCAGGCTGAAGTGTTTAGTTCAGCTTTGTTCTTGAGTTTTTGGTTTGGCATATCACATACCCGGATTTGGCCCCGTCCAACATTCTCGCTTCAATCGTGAAGCAACTTTCATGTTTGACCAATCCGCGTGCTCCAGGACCTTGTGCTGTCCCAAATTGAAATGTTCACTTTGGGGCACTGGCAGGGTTTTTTTTCTAGGACGCGGGTGGTTTCGTGCGTTGCTTGTGGTGGGTATCGGAGACCTTTGGCCCGCGTGATCCTGTCTGGCGAGCGGTTCTCAGAAGCTTGCGATCCGGGTCTCGCAACGTCAAGCCATTAGAGTTGGGGGTTGTGGTGTTAGGGTTTGAGGTTTGGGTTGCGGGGTAACGGTTTTTTTTGTGGTGGGGTGAAGGGTTTTCGAGGGTCTTCGGATTTCAGGGATCTAGTGTTCAGCGGGTTTGAGGGTTTGGGTTTAAAGGGTTTCGCTTTAGGTTTAGGGTTTCAGGCCGACTGTTTGTCAGTCGACTTTGGGCTTTCGGGTTCTTGGGTTCGGGGTTTGGGAGTTTAAACCCCAGACCTGGAAGGCTTTATACCGGGTCGGAATACCTTGGTAAAAGTGAATCGGGCTTTTGGGCCACCTGGTGTGAGCGGGCTTTGGGTTTCGAGTTGAACTCTTGAGGTTCAGCTTGTGCTCGCATGTTCGAAGACCGCTAAAGTTGCTACGGTGTCTTTAGACGAGACTGTGGCACTGTGCCGCGACATGGGTCTAGCAGTACCGCTGCTCAGTCACGCATATAATCACGTATATCATCAGATTGGTTTTCTTGTTGTTTTTTGTCTGGTTTGCCTTTCGTACAAGGAGCACAGGTACAGCAGCCTTTTTTGGTTTCCTGGGCAGTGCTCCATCACCATCGTCATTGCATCATTACCAACATCATCAACACCATCGTCATCATCACCAGCATCACCAACATAATCGTCATTGCATCATCACAACCATCATCAACATCATTATCATCATAATTGCGTGGTCGTGGTTCTCAGAGTCAGTGTCATCATCGTCACCTTCCGCACCTCGGTTTCATCCTCATCCGGCTATTGTGTAGCCCCCTTTCCTCAAAAGAGGCTCCAAGAAAGCTGCTCATTCCACAGTCAACCCTAAACCCTAAACCCTAAACCCTAAACCCTAGACCCTAAACCCTAAACCCTAATAAGTTTCGACAGTCGCAGGCTGCATCCACCATCCACCTCCACCGCACGCTGAACCAGATCAAGAGCCCACGGCCCAGAAGTGCCAGGGGTTTTAGGGTTTAGGGTTTAGGGTTTAGGGGTTTAGGGTTTAGGGTTTAGGGTTTAGGGTTTAGGGTGATGGGTTTTATGTAGATTGCGAAATCACGGTTTTGCCGGTTTTTGTGGGCGGAGTTCAAGCTTCAGAGGGATTCTAGAAGGGGTTGTGGTTTCGGGCTTCATTCAGTGGTTTAAGGGCTGTGGGGTTTCAGTGGTTTACATCGGTTAGGTTTTTAGGATTTCGGGGTTGGGATACCGGTCTCTGGCACGAAGCGCAGACTCAGTGCTTGGGAGGTTTTAAAGGTTTCTTCTTGGGTGTGCTTTGGTTTTGTGTTCTTTTCAGTTTTTTTGTAGCGTCTTTTGGACCCCAATGTAGAACCGTAGATGTCTAAATAAACACGAAAAGTTCTAGCAATCCCACAAGAAACGAGCATCACAACAGTACGCATAGCCACGTCCATACAACAGCCAGAGGACTCGCAAAGGACGTCAGTATCACTCTCATCATCATCGTCGTCCTCGTCATCATCGGCATGAATCTTTCACCATCGACCGGGGACGACGACAGGCGCAATTACCTATTTAGCCACAAGAAAAAGCCAAAGCACCTTCATCTTGAGGACATTTCTTGCATTTCATTCATGTAAACCCCGAAACCCTAAACCTTAAAACCCTAAACCCTAAAACCCTGCACCCTAACACCCAAAATCTTAACACCCTAAAAGCCTGCCCTAACACCCTAAACCATAAAACCCTGGACCCCAAACCACTTAAACAAAACAGAAACACTCTCGGACCAAGGCTTCGGTTGCCTTGCCGGCGTCGTGCTGAACCCTGGCACCCCGCTCTCCCAGATCGAGTATGTCCTAGAGGAGGCCTTCCTTTGGAGTTTAGGGGTTTAGGCTATTTAGGGTTTAGGGGTTTAGGGTTTTGGGGTTTAAGGGTTTAGGGGTTTAGGGGTTTCGGGTTTAGGGGTTTAGGGGTTTAGGGTTTAGGACTTTAGGGGTTTAGGGTTTAAGGGCTTATAGTTAGGGTGTGTGATGGCCCAGAGGAGGCCTCCCTGCGTCTCTTTTTGTTTACAGAGCTCCCTAAGCCCTAAACCCCAGACCCTAAACCCTGAACCCCTAACCCTTGGGATCTCTTGTAACCTACATGCACCCCGAAGGGTTTAGGGTTTAGGGTTTAGGGTTTAGGGACCAGTCTAAGCCCAAGCCCGAAGCTTGTTATAGCCACTCGCTCGCCGAGAAGCAAGAAAGCCATGACGGGGATATTTGTCCAGAAGCTTTGTTGTTAATAGAAACCAAGCCCAACCCGAAGCACTAATTACTAAACCCTAATCGTAAACCCTAATCTCTAGACCCTAAGAGGTGGACTTAAACAAACAAGCGAGGTGGACGTGGTCCTCATCTATACCCCAAACCCTAAACCCTAAACCTTGTTAAGGCCCCTTAAACAGGTGCTAAACCCTAAACCCCTCAACCCTAAACCCCTAAACTCCTCAACCCCTAAACCCCTAAACCCCTAAACCCCTAAACCCCTAAACCCCTAAACCCTTAAACCCCTAAACCCTAAACCCTTAAACCCCTAAACCCCCTTAAAGCAGGTGGACCTGGTCCTCATCATGTCGGTGAATCCCGGCTTCGGTGGGCAGAGCTTCATCGAGTCGCAGCCCTTCGGCTCTGAGGGCATCGTTGGGTTCTTAAGAGGATCTTCTTTGGGGTTTTAGGGTTTTTTGGGGTTTAGGGTGTAGGGTTTTGGAGTTTTCAGGGTTTGTGCATGTTTCGGTTCAAGGTTTTCGAAGTTTTTTTTTTGGTGTTTGGGTTTTTGTGGTTAGGGTGTTTGGCTTGAGAGTGTTTAGGGTGAAGGTTATGTGGTTTAAGGTTTTTAGGGTTAGAGTGCTTGGGTTTAGGAGTTCTGCGTTCCGGGGTTTAGAGCTTTGGGGCTTTAGGGTTTAAAGTTTCACGGCTTTAGGATTTAGGGTTGAGTTCTTTCGACGGTTTTGGGTTAGGGCGTCTGGGTTTGTTGCCAGCAGAGCCCCATGTACTCCGAAAGAACAGGAATTCCTCAGGTAGGACCTCGGAATTTAGGGTTTAGCGTTTCGAGGTTACGGCTTTTGTGGCTTCGGGTTTAGAGTTTGGTTTTCGTGTTCCTTTCTCAGGGTCTTTGACAAGTGCTCATATAACTTCAGGGAAACTCCTGAAACTATTTCGGTTTTTCTGCCCTCCCAAGAAAAAAGGATCTCAACCCTACCCCTAAGCCCTAAACCCTAAACCCTAAACCCTGACCCCTAAACCCTGGTTCTCATCTTTTGGAGGCTGAAGAAGATCAAGGACCTGAAGAAGATGTGTGAAGCCAAGGGCGTGCCGCTTTGCCTCCGGTGCAGGGTTTGAAGGGGTTTAGGGTTTAGGGTTTAGGGGGTCCCTCGGAGGGCGTAACATGATTCCAGTCTGAGACTCTTAGGGGGGTTTCCAGGGTCGCTTAGGGTTTTGCAGGGTATAGTGATCCCTTACATGAGCTCCTTTGAACATTCTGCAAGGGTTCTACAATCAGGGCTTTCAGGGGTTGGTAGATTTGATTTAGGGGCCTTCATCATTGGTCAACGGTTTTCTAGGGTCGTATAGTTAACTATTGACATGTGACTACGGGGGGACACGGCACCCAAACCCCAAATTCTCGAAGCCGTTGAACATCGGATGTATAAGAACTCTCTAATCGTGCAAGTAACCCAACAAGGGAATTATCCCTAAAATGTAAGCCCGAAGAGCTCGCAGAAGACTTACGGTCAAACTTAGTCGCCTGTGATATTTGTGCCCATCCCCAGCACTGAAACGGCGACGGTTCCCTCGTGTCTAGGGTTTAGGGTTAAACCGTGCAATCAGAAGACCAAAACACTGAGCGTCCGCTTGTCTGCGTGCTTGGTGAGACCGGGAGCCTGGGGTTTAGGGTTGAGGGTCCGCAAAACCCCAGACCCTAAACCCGTAAACCCTTGAACTCTAAACCCTAAACCCTAAACCCTAAACCCTAAACCCTTGAACTCTAAACCCTAAACCGTTGAAAGGGCTTGGGTTGTGGCTCTTTCTGACCTTCGAGCCCCTCGAACCTGAACCCGAAACCCGCAACCCCAACCCCCAAGCGAAAACCCTCAACCAAACCCTCCAATCCAAACCCTCAGCCCACACCCTAAAACATACACTCTCAACCCTAAGCCGTACTCCTAAACCCTAAACACCAAACCCCTAAAACCCTGAACCCTAAACCCCTAAAACACTGAACCCTAAACCCCTAAAACACTGAACCCTAAACCCCTAAAACACTGAACCCTAAACCCCTAAAACACTGAACCCAAAGCCCCTCAAACACTGAACCCCTGAACCCTAAACCCCTAAAGCCCTAAACCCCTAAACCCCTAAAGCCCTAAACCCCTAAACCCCTAAAGCCCTAAACCCCTACAGCCCTGATTTCCCTAAATCTCAAACCCAGGAATCCCTGGATCGAGATCGATGGCGGCGCCAGCGGCGCCAACGCCAAGGAGATCAAGGAGGTCAGGAACTCGAAAGCGGCCCTTTAAGGGGCTTAACATTGTTCTATAGGGGATATAGGGCTTACGGGGGTTTAGGGGAAGAGCTCTAAGTGGTTCGCGCGTTAAAACCGTGTTCCGAAAAGCGTTCTGTCTGGTTCTATGTGGTCTTGTGGGGCTTTTTGGGGTGTTTGGGGTTTTTAATGGGGGTGTTCAAGAAGGTTCGTCTTGCGGGTGACAGTGTTATATAGTGTTCTTTTGTATGCTCCGTAGTTGCTCTGGTATCTCCGGAGCCGATGGGGTTTCATTGGGTGTTCAGGGTTGCTATGCGGTTTTGGAAAGGTATTTGCCATGTTCAGTTAAGGGTTCTACGCGGTTTCTACCAGAGGTCTTTAGATCTAAAGCCCCACCTGGACTCTGAACGTACCTTTCGTAGAGTGTTTCCTCAGATAATTCCTAGCGTTCCCAGAGTGATGGCGCATATGCATGTAATTGAATAGTTGTGAGGTGAGGTCATAACCTACGATTATGCACAGAAATCGGCTGCAGGTAACTTCTGAAAGCAGTCGGTTACTGTCATCTCTTCAGGTTGCCATCTGGGGTTTAGTCCTTGCCCAGCTCCTTGTATGTAGCTTTGCAGGACGCCTCGCCGTTGCAGGGTGAAGATCATGCAAGAGCTTTTTTTCTGAACTTTCGACGGCTCTCTAGGATTTTATCGTCGTGGTTTTGGGTCCTGCTAGGGTCCCGGGGCTGATTGTCGGTGTGCAGACTGGACGCTACATTCTGCGCAAAGGCAGGCTGCAATGCCATCGTGGCCGGCTCGGCCGTCTTCAATGCTCCCGACTATGCCGAGGTCACCCCCTTTTGCCCTTTTGCGGTGTAGGGTTTAGAGTTTTAGGATTTGGGGGGTTTAGGGTTTCCAGCTTTGCCGTTTGGGGTTTGAGGTTTTTGGGCTCGGGGTTTAGGGTTTGGGGTTTAGGGTTTGGGGTTCAGGCTTGGGAGTTTGGAGTTTAGGATGATTGTGCTTACGGTCATGTCTGACTCCTTGGGTTCTTACGCCTTGACTAATTGAGATTGATACGGTGATGCTGACAGTATTGGTGACATCAGGAGCCAGGCCCCTAAACCCTAAACCCTAAACCCTAAACCCTAAACCCTAAACCCTAAACCCTTAACCCTAAACCCTAAACTCTAAACCCTAAACCCTAAACCCTAAACCCTAAGCCCTAAGCCCTACATGCTAAGCCCTAAACGCTCTGGAAGCCCTGGGCCTTCCCAAAGCGCAAAGCCCCTGGGTTTTTGTTAAGGGATCTAGTTTAAGTTACCATAATAGGGATCTATAGTAAATAATATGGTTTCCTTATTATGGTACCTTAAATTGAATCCCCTAACAAGAACCCAGAACCCCAAACCCTGAAGCCATCAGCACAGAGGCCGTCAAGGCGATCAAGGAGGCATAAGAATGGATCTTCTCTCGAGCCAGAAGAGGTGCACACTGCCTTGGGATCGTTCTGCGAGTTCTCCAGGATTGGGGGCGCCAGGGTTGAGGGTTTAGGGTGTAGGGTCAAAGGTTGAGGGTTTTAGGGCTTAAGGTTTAGGGTCTGGGGTTTGAGTTTTAGGGTGAAGGGCTTGGAGTTGGACCGGAACACTGATGGTCCAAACAAACCTCTGCGATGTCAAAAACTGTAAATCTTGTATCCCTGCCCGCTAAACCCTAAACCCCAACACCCCAAACCGTAAACCCTACCACATCCCACGTCCTAAGCCCCCATTACTGACTGAAAATCCAGAACGACTTCCAGACATCGACGTCGCCCCAGCCTGAAGCAAGGAGCACTAGTATCCGTTAAGCCGGGCTTTCGACACGTTTTCCTATGTGGAATCAGAGGCCCTAAGCCCTAAACCCTAAACCATTTAGGCTGTAGGGCCAATATGACTTTGGACCGAAACAAGTGTTTTCCAACCAACCTAACTTAACACTTTCTATGTTAACATAGGCTCCTTTAAAGGGATCCTTAAAGGGTTGCATAAGGGATCTACAATAGGGACCTCAATAGTTAGAATAGCGGGTTTGGTGTATACTCTGCCATAATTGGAAGAAGGAATCCCCAAAATAGTATTGTCCTATTACTATAGTTAGAATAAGGACCCCCCCCC